GAAGAGCCTAGTGTTTGCAGGAACAATTCTCAGGACTCTCATTGTCCTTGGGAAGTAATGAGCTCTAATACTTCTCAGTGTTTAACTTTGGGGGGTAGTTATGCACGGCCTGTCAGATTATTAGATTACTTCCCTTATCATTAGCAATTCTTGTCCTTAAATAGGCAAGGAAAATAAAAAACAGAAGACACTCTGCATGTAATGTAGACACAGTCATTTATGCACAGAGACATACTTACCCACCGTGACTGTCCCCAAAGGCACCCCTTTTAACAACACATTCAAAAGGGAAACTTCATTTTCCTTGCATTCATTCAGCATATATGTGTGAACCTCCTGTGTGTCAGGCGCAGAGAGTATTCAGTGGAAAATAAGCACGCATCCCATCCTGACCTCTTAGTTGCCTGTACCCCCAACCCAAAGGCCACTATAGATGCTAGTTTCTTTGTTTACTTTTCAGAGATATTCTGTGCATATAAGGAATATATTTGTGTGTGTACCTCACTATTTTTTAATCTAACACAATAATAATAATCTATACATCTCATATCTTGGAGAATATTCCAGATCAGTCTACCTTACCCTCCTTTTTTACTGTTGTGTAGTATTACATTCTATGGTTGGATGTGTACTTTATGAGTACCCTGTTGCTTGACATATTCAAGTAATTCCTAGGGGTTGTTCTTCTACTTTGGGGCCTTGCCCTCTTTCTCTTGCCTTATACATGTCTTCTAATGCATCACTCTGTTCCCTGTTGCTCCATCATTAATGGTTCTGGGAAAGGGGGTGCAACACCACCTTTGCAGACACCCTCACCCTTGTCTGTACTTCCTGATAGATCCAGGCCAGCATCAGTAGGTCACATTGATCCAATAAGGCCTTACCTTTCACTCTAAAGATTTTTTGTGATTATCTTGTAATTGTTGATCATTGTTCATCATGAAGATAGTTGATCAACTTTGCTACCCCAGGATCCACTTTCTTGAATTGCAGCAAACTTGAGAGTTGGCTCTGTTAGGTAGTCATCATACCTGTCACCTAGGACTCTCTTTCAGGTTGCCCAGGCTGCTCACTGCTCAGTGTTCTCCCTTGCTGGGACAACCAGTTAACCCCAAGGGGTTTTCTTTGCTCCCGCATCAGAGTCGGCCTCCTTTTCCTTTGAATGGCATTGCTCTTCCTGTGTGATTTTATTTCCACTATAACATAGAAACGTTTGAAGATCAATCAAAGCACATTAACTTTAAATGAATCATAATTAGCTCACTCCCTTTTGGATGGCTCTCTAAAATATATCTAGTTTCATTTCTGGAAACCTTAACTGTCAGAATGCTGCTTTCTTACATTTTTACATTTGCTCATAAAAAATAGGAAGCCCCTTCCCAAATTAAATCTTCAGAGACTTTGAAGTGACATTGACCACTGGTTGTTGCTTCAGCTGTATCTTCTGGTCTTTGTTATTTCTGCTCTTCTTCATGCTGACATCACCGTCCTCTGCTTCTGCGGTTCAGTTTTTCCGTTTCCAGTTGTCTCTTCTCTCTTCACTCCTGTCCCCGCTTTGCCCCTCTATGGATGTCTGCTTTTTATTTAAAACAGTGTCTTCTTCAGAACTTGCTTGTTTCTGTGACGATTTTACCTATTTTATTGCTATACCTTGAACAGCAGCATAATTTACTGTTCGCTTACTCCCTCAGATGCTTAGTCAGAGGGCCTCACCTATCCCCTTTATATTACAGGGTTTTAGAGGTGCCTCGGTGGTTCAGTCAGTTGGACATCCACTTCAGCTCAGGTCATGATCTCACAGTCCGTGAATTCAAGCCTCGCGTCAGGCTCTGTGCTGACAGCTCAGAGTCTGGAACCTGCTTAGGATTCTGTGTCTCCCCCTCTCTCTCTCTGCCCCTCTCCCACTTGCATTCTGTCTCTCTCTTTCTCAAAAATAAATAAACATTTAAAAATATTTTTAAATAAACAAAATAAAGGGTTTTATCATGGTGCTAACGAATTTTCTTATTCTAGCACTGAAATTAAATAGAAAAAAATTTTCTGGAGCTATATCCTCTCTTTTTCAATTTTAGAAATTTGGAAATGTTAAAGGTCACGTTTAAATTGTGGCCCTCTTTTCTTCTTCTTTTTAGACCATTTTCTAGGCTGAGTCTATGAATTCTTTATTTCAGCCATTAATCACTTAATGACCACTTACAAGTTCAGAAAATTACTATGACATTTCTGCCACATGCCCAATACTGTTCTGGACCCTAGAGACATAGTAGACAAATTCTGTGCCCTCAAGAAATCCACGTCAGTGACGAAAGGCAGTGGCCCATGACGTAATCTGTATGATGGAGCAAATGTGCTAGAGAAAATTACGACTGGAGAGGAGGGGGGAAGTTCAGAATGGGGGTAGATTTCATGAAGGGAGTCAGAGAAGAGCTCCCCAGGAAGAAGTCATTTGACCAAACTGGAAGGAAACGGTGCAGCAAGTACTGGGCATTTATCTGGAAGGTGGAAGTGCATCCTGGCGGTGAGCACAGCAGGTACAGAGACCGAGAAAGCGGGTGTGTGGCACGTGGAAGGCACAACGAAGAGGCCACCATGGCTGGAGAGCAGCGAACAAAGGAAGTCGGTCAGAGAGTGCCCAGGAGCTGAGGGCATGAGTCCTTTCATCGCAAGGACTTTGGCTCTAGCTCTGCGACGAAGAGCCATTGAACAGTTGTGAACAAATGAGTGAGGTGATGGGTCTTGTGCTGTGATGTATTATTGTCACCTGACTGATCAAGGACAAAGCAGCTTTTCTTCCGGTTCTTTTGTGCTCTGTCAGTTGGGAGTATGCAGTAGATATTTTCTCTTCTCTTCTTTCCTCATCCTCGATTTGTCATGTAGATGCCAAGACCGTTATTATTGTTAATGTAAGTGTTTAATAAGCCTTGTCTTTAAGCAACCAAAAGCTATCAATAATGTGAAGCTTTCTGTAAACTCAATCCTGATGTAACATTTAGTTACAACTGACTTCAGCACTTCTTCCACAAAGATGAGAAGATGGGCTTAAAATGGAAGACATTTAAATTTAAAGTCTTTAGATAGAGAACCAAAAGATAAAAACAGTATGTAGGAAGAAGATGGATCTGTAACAGACTGTTGTGAGGTGAGGCCCAGTTCATTCGCCCATGAGCTTCCTGGATCCCACAGTTCTCCTGACCTGAGTTTTCCCAGACTGCTAGTCTTTCTCCTTCCTTACTCCAATGCAAGCCACCACGTGAAACATGTTTTTAACATACCTTTTCTTCACCAGAGAGGGATTACTTTCTAAAACAAGCTGATCCGTATACATTTCAACCTTATTCCTCCCATGCTACTTATTTATGGGAGGAGTATCATTTTTGCCAAGAGAAACAAGTTTCTGCTAAAATTGTTAGTTCAGTAACTTCAGACATTAAAATTTAGGCTGATTTAAACATTGTGTCTGTTTCAATAGATTGAAATAGATTGCCAGCTTCTGAAGACAGAAATTGTGTCTGTTCACCTGTGTATCCTTGCTGTCCCTGAGAGCACCCTTCGGCCCCTCATCCACAACTCCAGAATCTCAAAAGCTCAGGAAACAGAAAATGTGATCAAAAGTTGGGTACCAAACTCATTCAGAGGCAAAACCTGAACAGAGCAAGACTATTTTAAAAACTCTTCATTTGTCCCACTTTTTGCGAATATGCCTATGTTTTGCTACAGAAGTAGTGGTAGGTTTAAATTGGGTGCTCTGTCGACCCTGCTGGGTGCTACATAACATTTGGCTTATGCATCTGATTACTTTTCTAAAATCTGAAAGTGTAAATTGCAAAATACATCTGCCCCCAAAGGCTTTAGAAAGGGGATGTGGGCCTGTCATAGCGAGTCCTTAGAAGAGTGTAGCTATCTAGCAAGCGTTAGTGGGAGTAAGGTTGGGCTAAAATGAAGAACTTAGAAAAGGGAAACTTTACTGCAGCCAGGCCTTCGGACCTTGAGGTCTCAGGGAATAAAAGATGATTCAGCTCTTAGAAGCAGTGCATTGACATGTTGCCTTAATTATTCTTTTAGAATAGTTGTACTTGGTCTTCAGTTAACCTAGTAAATATGAAATAGGAAGGGTTACTGTATCAATGAAGATTGTACCTTTTAGTGTCCTAGTAGCAGGTGCTTTTTACGTCATTCTTGCCTTTTTTATGTTGTCTCTGTATCTTATCATTTTGTACCATTTTGTTTTGATTCAACATTTTTTAAGGTGTCACATCAGCTTTTTTAATACTGGTGATTTAATTGCAAAAGCACACATAAACAGTTTGAAAGGTGTGAGAAGAAATTCACAAGTCACATGGGAAACAGCAACAAAGCTAGCATTCAGTCTGGAATTCCTCCACGGTGCAAAACAGACTGTACCCGCCAGTGGGTCAGATGGTGTGTCCAGAAAGCCAGTGAGAAATGAGCTTGATACAAGAAACATTTGTTTCCCACCGAAGAGACACTGGGAAATATGGACCTGAATTAAATAGAGGCGTTACCTTCACAAAACTTAAGTTCAATAGGGAAAACAAGACATGTCTGTAAAATAAATGAAACACACAGCAGAACATACCAGAGGACAGTCTCTGCAGCTCCGGAGGTCGGGAAAGGAGATCCAGAATCGGAAGTAGGTATGTGGAGAGGATGGACATGGAATATGGGATAGGAAAGACAAGAGTCCGGCTCTCAGGAAGCTCTGTGTTGAGTAGGAGAGACACACAAACAGATAAACTATTATGGAAAGTGGTAAATGTTATCCTGGGGGCTTTGAAACCATAGTGAAGAATAATCTGTTCTTGGGAAGGTGGACAGGAGTTGACTTTAAGGCTGGGTCTTGAGAAACACAGCCATTTGCCCAGAAGGGCAGGGGTGAATCTAGGAACACATCGCAGGCAGAGTAAATGATGCCTATATGCACTCTCCACATTAGGACAGTTACACCAGAGTGACTTTTTATATTGCCATTGTCATTGCAGGTGAATCAAACATCTCTTCTGGGACGATTCAGAGTGGGAAGGGTTTGCAGTGTAAGAGTCACTTTAGGACCATTGCACCGAAGCTCGTGCCCAGAGTCCTGACCCCCAGAGCGCTGTCGTGCCCTTCACCATCACTCTCTGACCAGGTGAATCCCGGGCCCTCCATCAACGCCAAGCCCCTGGGGGTGCCCACCCAAAATTACGCTCTGATGCAGCTTGCTGGACAGGAGGGGACGTTTTCTCTCGTCGCTCTGCCACCTGTCCCCTCTGCTCAGCCAATCCAGAAACCCAGACTAGCGCTGCCTGAAAACCTGAAGCTGCCTATTCCCCGATACCAGCCCCTGAGAAATAACAAAGGATCAAGAAAGAAACCTGCTCCGAGCTCCTCTGAGAGTGGCGGTGGCATACCTCCTGCCCAAACCCAAACGTCCCCCTCCCCACCTGACCTTCCCGAACCCCCACACAGACCCGGTCCATCGGAGCAAGTGCAGTCTCCAGACCCAGGCCCAGCCAGCATCAGCAGCACGGCACTGACCCTCCGCGGTTGCCCCGGAGACTCCCCACCCCCAGGGACCAGCAGCCGTGGAGATCTGAACCCTCCTACCACCCGGACGGTGTCCACTCCAGGGGAGCCCTCAGCCAAGCCGGGCCTCACAGAGACTCCAGGGAAAGCAAACGTGGCGAGCAAGGAAACCTGTGGTAAGCCTTGTGCCGTTGCCAGTGGAAAACGGAGAGAACAAGCTGATCTTGCAAAAGGCACGACCATTTTGTCACCAGCTGTTTTCAGCAGCGCCGTTCAGCTGATCTCTCCGGTCCCCAGAGGTAAACTGCCCATCGTGCCCTACGGCAGTGGGAGAACAGCGGAGGTATCCGGAGCCCCGCCCGAGGTGAGCCTCCCAGACGGGCTCGGGGCAGCGAGTGGTGAAGTGCCCTCCATCCCAGCTGTCCCTACCGCAGCCACCAGCATGCTCGGCAGGACACCTGTTCCACTGAGCCCCTGTGAAAGTACCTTTTGTGGGGCCACCAGACCGGATCTCAGCCCCAAAGCAAAACTCAGCGGCGGGGCAGCAAAGAGAAGAGTAAGACGACGAAATGTACCAGATGAAATTTTGGCGTTTCAGGGAAAAAGGAGGAAATGCGTTATTAATAAGTGTAAAGATAGTAAAGAAAGAGTGAAAGCCGATCCGCAAGAATCCAATGACCAAAAACCAGGGGCTGTGAAAAAATACCGCAGCATTATGCCCAAGCCTGTGATTGTCGTGTCTGCTTTGGCTCCCCTGACTTATGCAGGCGTGTTGCCGCCCCCGATGCCCGGCAGCCTCGGGCAGGATGTGCTGTTAAGCAGTCCCGTCGCTCCCAAGCACCCGAGCTGTAGGCAGGACAGCGGCACCTCCGCTAAGCCCGGCTCCGCGCTGAGAAACGGCCCCGCGGGCATTAAGAAACCGTGGCTCAGGTGTCACGTCTGTAACCACCACTTCCAGTTCAAGCAGCACCTCCGGGACCACATGAACACACACACCAACAGGCGGCCTTACAGCTGCCGGATCTGCCGCAAGGCCTACGTACGTTCCGGCAGCCTGAGCGCGCACATGAAACTCCATCACGGCGAGAACCGTCTGAAAAAGCTCGTGTGCTGTGAGTTCTGTGCAAAAGTGTTTGGCCATGTCAGGGTCTACTTGGGCCACCTAAAAGAAGTGCACCGGGTTGTCATCAGCACGGAGCCCTCCCCTGGCGAAAGGCAGCCAGGGGACGCTTCAAAGAACAGATGCCTGACAGCACGATGGCCAGAGGGACTGGTGGAGAGGTGAGTGAGTGCCGTGGGGAGGGGGGCCTGGTAGCAAGAGGTGCTTGGATTTGGAGAACAGGGCAAGGTTTCCTATTCAGAAAGATGGGTCTTGGGGCACCTGGGTGGCTCAGTCAGTTAAGCGACCCACTTCAACTAGGTAATAATCTCACCATTGGTGGGTTGGAGCCCCTCATCCGGCTCTGTGCTCACAGCTCAGAGCCTGGAGCCTGTTTTGAATTCTTTGTCTCTCTCTCTTTCTCAAAAATAAATAAAACACTAAAAACAATTCTTTTTAAATTCTTTTTTTTTTTAATGTTTTATTTATTTCTAGGAGAGAGAGAGACAGCGTGAACAGGGGAGGGTCAGAGAGAGAGGGAGTCACAGACTGAAACAGGCTCCAGGCTCTGAGCTGGCAGTCAGCACAGAGCACGACGCGGGGCTCGAACCCACGAACTGCGAGATCATGACCTAAGCAAAAGTCAGACGCTTAACCGACTAAGCCACCCAGGCGCCCCTTTAAATTCTTTTAAAAAGAAAAGAAAAGATGGGTCTGTAAGAACATCCCTCAGACTAACGTTTCAGGAGGTCACTACCTCTTCCTCCGTGCCTGTGAAGAGTGATCTCATTTCTCATGCTTTCTGGGCAGTGATGATTTTTAATTCCTCTAATCCCAGTGAACCACAGCACAGACGCCAGTTTGCGGCATGCTGGGGAGAACAGAGTGAGGAATCTTGCATCTGAAATAGGAAATAGTGAATCACTGTATATGGTTCCTGGTACCTTCTACAACTAATGTTCCCAGACTTGTGGCCACAATTGTTTATATCTAAACCTCATTCTTTGCCCCTGATACAGTCTGACCCATGGTAGGGACTCCACATCCCCCATATTGACCATACTCTCAGGTCCCAGACCCAGCCCTCTGTGTGTGCTCTAGTTTTCCTGTCAGGCCAGATTAACATTTCCTGTGTCACCATTGCCTTGTGCAGGTACTGATGTCTGGCGTTAACGAACAAGCGGGCTACGTAGGTCTAACCCAAGACTCAGACCAATGGGTCTCCCAGGGACTCCCCCCCCCCCCCCAGTATGCCTACTCTCCACTGGATGGAGGAGCGAGATTCACTGAAATGAACCGTCATCAGCACCATGAAGATGAAAAGTTTTCTAACTCTAGATTCCCTGTCTGTCCCTCATCATTCTTAATTATCCTAATTGTTCTCAACAATTTTGGCTTCCGCTGTCACCTTCATTTTAAAATCTAGGATGCCTTGCCCTGTGTCTTCCTGGCTTTTCTAGAGTTTCTCTGCTTTCCTTCAGGCATTCCTATCCACCGAGAGATGTCTGTACCTTTTCTTAACGCGTCTAGCAACCACCCTAAAGAAACCTCTCTTCTCGGTAGTTTTCTGCGGTACATTTTGATTTGTAGGTAAACTGTCCCAAGTGAATTCAGTGCTCAAGGTTAGGAAGGGCAGCAGTGGGTGGTGTGGCCGAACCTAGCGGGTCCCTGTGGTGCCTCACTTGGTACTACCTGACTCTAGTGTAGAGGACACCTAGCTGGTAACCGAAGAATAGTTAGCTCCCCTGGGGAAGAGACTGAAAGGGAAACACTCTTTCACTGGATGCTGGTGGCTTGAGGACCATGTGACCCCAAGCAGGAGTGATGATCAGTGTCCACCGTGGCTTGTGCTTCCCGCATACTGTTTCCCCGTTCCCCGTACTCCCCTCACTGGGTGTGTTTTGGGTCCCTGAATGTGAGCAGCTGAACAAGAAGTTCCAGTTGTGTTTTACATGAACTCTTACGCAGACCACTTGCCCCCTTTCCAGGGAAAACAAGTCAAGCCTGGAAGAAGACCTCCTCCTAACCCAGGCAGACGAAGTCAAATTACAAATCAAATGTGGCCGCTGTCAGATCACCGCTCACTCTTTTGCTGAAATCAAGTTTCATTTACTTTACGTTCACGGAGAGGAAATTCAGGGCCGGCTGCAAGAGGAGATCTTCCCAGGAAGCACAGGATCTCAGGAAGAGCTGGTGAAACACACCACTCCTTTCTGGAAGCAACATCCTGAGAGAAGGAAGCTGGTCAAGCGTTGTCCCCCTGATGAAGACTTACGTGCAGTTCCGAAACTAAAAAGGCAGCTGTACCTTCATCATCACAGTGATGTGGAAAGACTCAGGAAAACAGAGGGAGTGCAAGCGGGACCCAGGGAGCCACTGGGGGTGGCCCCCCGGGGCTCCGCAGGTCCCAGCCCCCGCACCCTCCTCCTTGGGGCCCATTCAGGCTTCAACTGTGTCCTCTGTGCCCAGACGATGGCAAGGAAAGAAGAAGTCCTCCGGCACTGGGAACAGGAGCACCACTGTGAGGACCCTCCCAAGCTGTGGATGATTTTAAATGCACTCTCTAGTCAGGGGGTGACAGGACTTCCTGGGGAAACTGAGAAATGAAATCTTGGGGGTGGGGGTAAAGAGAATGTTGCTTGCTTGCTTTCTCTTTCTCTCAAAGCCCTGTATATTTATGGTGGTGCTTAATGATAAAAGACTAATTAGGATCAGCATTAATGAACACAAGTGATTTTTGTACACAGTTTTATTTTCCTACTATATATATATATATACATATACTATGTATACATATATATATATATGCCCTTGATGTATATTTTTCTAACCATATGCAGTTTTATTTTAAAAGTCTATGTACTAACCATTAATGTCTTAGACTTTATTTGAGAATAAAGAAAAAGATCAAAATTTGGAGAATGAAATGTAAAAGATTTTATAGGCTGTTCTTCAAATATAATGTTCAGCGTGGTTGAGCGTTGTGTGTATATCATTTTGTTCAGCTGTTTTCTGTTTAAGTAGACCGACAAATGCGATAAATCTCCAGATGGCAGAGTCAGTCCAGTCTCAGCCACATGTATAGTGTTGATATTTATCAAATTCTCTGGTGTATTTGAATAGGCTGTAGAACAGTACATTTAATAAGGCTCTCATCTACCACAATTTAAAATCCATCTTTCCAAGACTTAGATTTTTTGTTGTTGTAGCAATTTTCTTAAATGCACGTTGCCTTGAAGATTAGATGTTGGTAAGTCTTACAGCTGTAGTGTTCCATATCAAAGTAATCAAGCATGTTTTAGTACTTCAGCTAATAAAAAACCACTTTTTGGGTTAAAAGTTCTTTTCAAATAGTCCTTCAGGCCAGGAAATTTACAACCTGGGAAGCGCACTAGACAGTCAGCCCAGATGGCTAGGTGTCTGAACGGCTCGCCCTCCCTCCCAAGGAGCTTCACAGGGTTGTCACTAGCTGATCAGTTTTCGATGCAACTATGCCTTTCAAGCCCACGGTTCTCTTTGAAAGCCAAGAGTAAATGATTGCCTTTTTAATTCCTGGGAATCAGAAAAGTTGCCATTTGGAGCTCCTGGCCATCCAGGATGCAAAATCATTTTCTTAGAACAGGGGAGTTTGAGCAGGCAACCAACTGAAGTTTCAGCATCTGAGTGAAAGCACTGTGCATGTGGCCAGCCCCGTCTGCCCGAGGCGCGGCCCAGGCATCATCACAACAGGTTTCTGTGCTACAGGAAGTTGCCGAAGCAGGAAGAACTGAATTCGGATTGATAAGCTAGTGGGTTTTAAGTCTTCTTTTTTTTAATGTCTCATTTTAAAAGAAAGTGTTCGTAAGCATGATTTCACTCAAATTTTCCAGAAAGGGAAAACTCAATTCTTGACTTTTGCAAATAGTTTTATAAATTTGAGAATATGAGGGTAGGAGTGGAAATCTCTGAAAGATTTTGCCGTAGTGTATCAATCATCACGCTCTATCCAGTTTGAAAGAGATCATATCAGACCTTCACTCTGATATTTTTAGAACTGGGTTAGTAATGAAACCACTTTACCATTCAGTGCAGCACCTTTTGGGAAGATTGGTCTGAAGGCACTAAAAATGAGATTGACCAAGAATACTACTTGAATTCAAGCCATGAACCTTGATTTTAAACTGTAAAATAATTTGTAGACTACTCAGCCCTCAAATTCTAAGCAGCATTTTTGAAATACTGGCCAGTCAGCTAAGGCAGAGGAGGGGGTCTGGAGAATGTATGGAGGCAGAGGTATAGGAAAGAGTGCATCCACACAGCTAGTAAAGGAAAATCTGAAGTCCTCCAGGTTCTGAAGCCCACCGCTCCTCCCCCTCCCCGTCTATAGCTGGTGTTTAAAACCACAGATTCTTACCGGCAGAACAAAACCCCAAGGATACAGACAGCCTGTAAAAAATAGAGACTTACAAATGGGGGCACGAGCCCAGGTAGGGAGGTGTGACTGGCTCATGATGAGGCGCCCTGACTGGATCCTCCTTTCATCAGGGCCCTGCACCATAGGTTTGGGGGTGTCAGCACTTATCTTTAAGAAAGGTCTTATTACAAGAGACGTGCAGTGCAGAGGGGCCTCACTGGATGCCTTTGTATGTGGGGGGGGGGGGTTCATTTGGAATAGAATGTTCTAGTTCTCAGCTTCTAGAAGCACTCCCCTGCATTCCAGGGGGAATGGTCGCGATGCCACCTAAGGTAAGGGGCTTCTGGTCCTTAAGAGTGCTTCTTCAGCTAGAATGGCACAGAGAGGGATTCCTGGGGAGCAGAAAGGAAAGGGAGGGTCATTCAGCTAAAGTGGCTCCGGGAACAGCTCAGATTGATGAGCCAGTCGGTCTTCATTGATGAGCCTTCCTTGGGCACAGACATGTTGTTGGCACGGTCCCAACCTGTATCCTTGACCCACAGGAAGTGAGGTGTAGGAATGTGCTGCTCCATGTGACCCTCAGAGCCTTAGCTCTCCGGGGCTCCATTCCCTCATCTGTACTGCAAGAGTGATGCTCCTGCCTTGGGCCTTGCAGTAGCCGGGGGCTGATAGTTATTATGCTTCTGGCCAGCCTTGGAGAAGAGGTATGTTACACCATAGAAAGACCATTTAAAACAGCTCAAGTAAGCAGCCTGAGGTGATCTCTGAAAATGGTCTGCTACCCACTTGACCCAGAAAGCCCTACAAAATAATACAAATGAGGAGATTCAAATCTTCATGTTCACATTATATGCATATATCCGATGTCACATCACAGTACCTGAAAGTACCTCAAAGATGTCGCTTTGCAGAAGCAATGTGTGCCATTCCGTCGCTACGATGGTGTGCCCAGGCCAAACAGTGGGGCTGGACACAGGTCGGGGGCCCAAAAATGTGCTGAATTTTTTACTGCAGATGCTTTAAAAATGCAGTGTACTGTTGAACTTCAGGGTTTAGATGTAGATTCTCTGGTCATTGAGCTCATCCAGGTGAATAAAACCCCCACGATGTGGTTGTAGAACTTGCACTTACAGGGCTCGTGGTGGGATTAACCCATAGGTGAGCTCCCCTGCCACATTGAGACAATCCTCACTGGAGAAGAACAGATTACAGAAGAGGAGGTTGCCAAAACAAACAAACAAAAAAGCCCCAGAGGTTTGCTCAGAAGAAAAAGACATCCCAGGTCCCAGAAGAAACTGAGGAAACAAAAATGTATGACCCGGGAGTAAATTCTGCATAAAATAAATGCAAATAAAAGTAAAAAAAAATAATAAAATTTTTAAAAATAAAACGGCTCACATAGGTTGCAAGTCCAGAATTCAAAAATGAAAACTGTACTGAGAGCCATAGAAACTTTCATCTTTGCATAAGTGTATTTTAATTTTTCAGTTATCAAAGTGGGATCTGGAATGCACGGAGGCTTGCCTAGTGTTTGTTTAATCTCTACAGAAAGTGGAATTCAATTCTTTCCATTCCAGGCTCCACTTTGGCCCTCATGTTTCTCCCCAAGGCTGCCCCTTCCTGGGCTGGATCTGGCCAGCACTGCAGCGCTCACCCCGGGGTCTTGAATTTGACAGTGGACTTGTCCACTTCCCACATTAGACCATAAGCCTCTTGAGGGCAGGGATTGTGTCTGTTCAGCACGCATCCCCAGAGGGTCCAGCACCTGACCTGGAATAATGTACAATAAACATTTATTGGGAAAAAAAAGGATATATTAGCTAAATACAAATGGAATTGTCAGTTCCCTTTTTACGAATAAAGCCAGCTTTCAGAGTAACCAAACTTCCATCTAGGAAGGCATAGAGACAAATTTGGTTTTAAATCCAGCACACTCATTTTGCTTAATGTCTTTTGCTTCTTGGAAAATTGTCCCAAAGCCAGCAAAACGAGACTTTTTTCCTTTCTTTTGGCCCTAAATTATTTCTGAAAGTTACAGCATTTTAGATTTGTATTGTTTTATTAGCTGTCATTTTTATTCATGTCCCCTTTTGTCTCTCTCTCTTTCTCTGGACCTCTTCCTGGTTTAGTTTGACTATTCCTCCGTTAAGCTGTTCCTCATATGGAAAGTTGTCTCTTCATCAGCACACCATAAATAATCAAACCTGGGTGCGTTCCATTACCTTCTCTGGCTCCGTGCTCCTGCCTCCCAGCTGCACGGCTCCAGTTTTCTGTGGCCCCAGTGACATGATTGTTGGCAATAAATGCTCAACTTCATTTATTTATTAGAATTCTCAGATCTGGACTGGTTTGCTCCATTCAAGCTGCTGACATGCTTTGTTAGGTACATATTTTATGAAGTCTCCTCCTTTCACTGAGCTCCTGAGAAACAATGCCCCGGTAGAGATGAACTGGGATTTAACAGAACAGGCTTTTAGCTTCAACTTTATACAGACTTCCCTGACATTAGGCAATCAGCAGCTTATTTCGGCTTGTGTTGCAATCCAGTATATATTTTAACTATATCCGTCTCTTCGAGAATGTTCCTTTTGAGGTGGAATGTTTATTGTATCTCCTATTTGGTCATGGGCATGGTTATCCCCATAATAAAACTATAGCCACAGTTTTGCAAGCATATTTTAAAGTTGTGTTCAGGGCACAGACATTAGCTTAGTGGTACATCACATTTTCCGTACTCTGAAGTGTGAAAATGTTTCAATGTGTTGCCTAACCCTAGGAAAAATCGCTATCTATTGAAGGAAACCAAATGTGACAACTCAAGAGAAGTAGAGATTATTTGTTCTAATTTTGATCTGAAGCGAAATCGGGATTTTGTTGGTTTGTTTGTATGAAACTTGATCCCACCTTCAAAATTGCCCTCTATGCCTCCCTTCCCCCCCACCTATTATAGCAAAGAATTTGCTATAATAGGATGGCTATATTGCCTATTTTGGTATGTTCCCAAAACAAGATTGCAAGCAATTAACATTATGATAGATCATTTCTGACAAGTCAAACAGCCACTAAGCACTACTCAAGTAAACGATTTTCCCTTCTATCATCAAATATGATTTTAATCTCCAACTAGGAGTCTCAGCTAGAGACCACCAGATCTATAGGCTTTTGCAGAAACAGCCATGAACCTGATCTGACCACTGCCTGAGTTGCAACACAGATCTCAGCACAAGAATTTGGCCATGGAAGAGATCCAGGTGGCTCAAACATAGGCGCTGCATAGCCATCCCAAAGCTGTGGCTATATCTGGAAGTAATATTTGAGAATATGTTCGTAGGAAACTAAAACACTGCCCTTTCCTAGTGTAATCCAAATTAAAGCACACTTCAGTTTTTCATAAGACATGCATGGAGCCAAG